GAGCTATTTGCAAACCCTCTACCTTGTTTGCTTGCGTCAGCAGTGCACCCCAGTGATGGACTGGTGGGAGGGGCCAGCACTCAGCTGGCGTTAACATGCCTGCCCCCGCCCCAGGTGCTGGAGTGCCTCGCTTCCTGCTGGTGCGCGCCTTGGGCGCACACTGCAGGTGACCAGTCGCTCGAGCACCCGGGGCCCGGCACCCACATGGGAGACCTGGATTGAATTTCCCAGGCCCAGCCCTGGCCGCTGCAGACACTGGATGAGTGGAGTGGCTGGGAGCTCTGAGTCTCTCTTCGAAAACAAATGAGTGGTAAATCTGACTCTTAGTAGGTAAATCTGAGTTCAAAGCCCAGCGCTCGGTTTCTGCACCCACCCCCGCCTCTCCTTCCAGGGGTCCACGAAGGCCGCACTCTGTCACCTCGTTCTCATCTCGGGGGGACAGCGTGCCCGGCTCCCTGTGCAGCTCTAAGGTCCCTCAGGGCACAGGGGCCCCCATCCTGTCCTCCCCCTGGGTTCTGTGGGGTTTTTGAAACCACAGTGAGGGTGAAAGGCACTCACCGTTGGTGTTGGTCACCCCCACGTGCAGATCAGACCTGCCGTCGTACTCCCTGAGAGAAACAAGCGTGGTTGAAAAGCGGAGACCCGTAGTGGGGGTGCACCCGGGCCCCACTCCTGCCCCGGCACACCTGGCCGGCAGCTGCAGGGCCCGGCAGCCCCGTTTGAACGCTGCTGAGTGAAGCGCACAGCTGAGGGCGCTGTCCAGGGAGCTCTTCCGACCCTTCCTCCTGGGCTTCCACCCTGGGGCCAGGATCCGGAGGCAGCTCGGGAGGCCTCGTGGGCCCCCCTTCTCTTCCCCGACAGCCCCCTCCCTGGGATTACTTCCTCAAGACCGTCCGCGAGGGGCCAGCGCTGGGGCAGGGTAGGTTAAGCCTCCGCCTGCAGCACCTGAACCCACATTAAAGTCCTGGCCGCTCCAGTTCCAATCCAGCTCCCTGCTAATGGCCTGGGGAGGCAGCGGAAGATGGACCAATCCTTAGGCCCCTGCACCCACGTGGGAGACATGGAAGAAGCTCCTGGCTTCATCCTGGAATGGCCTGGGGAGGCAGTGGAAGATGGACCAATCCTTAGGCCCCTGCACCCACGTGGGAGACATGGAAGAAGCTCCTGGCTTCATCCTGGACCAGACCTGGCTGCTGCAGTTACCTGGGGAGTGAACCAGTGGATGGAAGATCCCTCTCCCTCTCCCTCTCCCTCTGCCTGTAACTCTGCCTCTCAAATAAATAAATCTTTTTTTTTTTTTAAAAAAAAAAAGGCTGTCCATGAAACAAATTCTGCATAATTGACTCTCGTACAATCCCAGGCCATCACTCACCATCTTGGGGACGTGGGGCAAGCCATCTCCCCTGCACTCTTGGCTTCCCTTCTGTAGAATGGGGGTGTCATCACACACCCAACAAGCTGGTATAAAGTAATATAAAGTAAGTGCCTGCTGGCATCTGCTCACGGGGTCAGATGAGTCAGACACATGCTTAAACTGCAGCTCCAGAGTCCCTCCTACTTTTTTTTAAATGTATTTATTTATTCGAGACAGACTGACAGAAAGTGCTCCTACATGCTGTTTATTCTCCAAATGCCTGTGTCAGCGAGAATTATACCAGGCCAAAGGTAGCAACTAGTAATTGAGCCCAGGCCCCCCAGGTGGGTGACAGGACCCCATCACTGCTGCAGTGGGCGTGGGGGCTAATTAGCAGGAAGCTGGAGTCAGGAGCCGAGCCGGGACTGGAACGCAGGCACTGCAGGGTGGGATGTGGTGGTGTCAGCAGCCCAAAGCCCACTTGCCACTTTGAGAGGTGACCTTTAAATCACAAAGCTCCTTTCTCAGACCAGAGATCTTAAAAGCAGAGTCGCAGCCTTGACATGGCCGAGGCCACAGGCGGCTGCCTGGCGTCTCCAGAGCGCTGCCTGCCAGGCTGCTTTCTGTGTGACCCCCACCCGCACCCCCACCCAGTTCAGAGGCCGAGCCGGGGGCTCCCCTCCTTTCCTTCCGTCATTGGTCCATCACATATTCACTGGGCATGCGGGGCCAGTGACACACAGCAAGCCAGATGAGGTCTTTGCCCCCCTGCAGTTTGCTAATTTCCAGAAAAGACTTTTTGTTTTTTGTTTTTTGTGCCAGCTGACCGTGAGTGCCCACCACGGCTCGGCCAGGAGCCTCTGCAGTCTCCAGCCTGCACAGCCGGAGGTGGAAACCCTGAGGGAGCCTGACCTAGTTAGACGAGAACCTTGGCGATCCCATTACATCACTGTTGGTTCTCCTCAGCCACGTAGGTAAAGCTGAGAGCGAGCTGTGACAGTCAGAACCAGGGGCTTGGAAATTCGGGTGAGCGGGGAGGAAAGGGTCTGGAAGCTGGCCTCAGAGGGCCTGGGATGGGGACAGGGAGCTCCCTTGAGATTTTTGCAGACCCTGCTGTGAGCACCAGAACGGGGCGGGGGGGGGGGGGCACCAAAGCACCCAGCCTGTCTCAGCACCAGCACTTCCCCCTGCAGGTGCCGAGTAAGACAGGCCTGATAGCGTCACCCCTCCCCCACCCTAGAGGAAGGCGGGGGAGCAGGCATGGGAGATACAGGAGGGGGCAAATGCAGCCCTTCCGGAGCCCACCCTGGGATGATGGCATTAACCCATCCGTGAGGACATTGAGAGGTGAGAGGTCACTTTTTTTTTTTTTCTTAAGATTTACTTAATTATTTTGAAAGAGTTACAGAGACATCTTCCATCTATTGGTTCACTCCCCAGATGGCCACAACAGCCAGTACTGGGCCAGGCCAAAGCCAAGTGCCTCTTCCAGGTCTCCCACTTGGGTGGCAGAGGCCTAAGCGCTTGGGCCATCCTCTGCTGCTTTCCTAGGCCACTAGCAGGGAGCTGGATTGGTAATGGAGCAGCTGGGACCCCAACCGGTGCCCATATGTGATGCGGGCGTCACAGGCAGCAGCTTTCCCTGCTACACCACAACACGGGCCCGGAAGTTCACCTGGTACAGGCCCCACCTGTGCACTGAGGATTCCGTCTCTCACACATGAGCTCTGGGGACACACTGAAGCCACAGCTCCTGTCCAGGCTCAGAACTACAAAGTGGATGAAAGCCAGTGATAAAGGGAAAATGTTAAAAGAGCAAAAAAAATAGCCGGTGCCGCGGCTCACTACGCTAATCCTCCGCCTTGCGGCGCCGGCACACCGGGTTCTAGTCCCAGTCGGGGCGCCGGATTCTGTCCCGGTTGCCCCTCTTCCAGGCCAGCTCTCTGCTGTGGCCAGGGAGTGCAGTGGAGGATGGCCCAAGTACCTGGGCCCTGCACCCCATGGGAGACCAGGAGAAGTACCTGGCTCCTGCCATCAGATCAGCGCGCCGGCCACGGCGGCCATTGGAGGGTGAACCAACGGCAAAAGGAAGACCTTTCTCTCTGTCTCTCTCACTGTCCACTCTGCCTGTCAAAAAAAAAAAAAAGAGCAAACGTCCAATGAACAGTGACTGCAGGCTCCTCAAGCGACTGTGCAAGCCAGAGACCCTGGAAACACGCCCTTCACAAACAGAAAGAAAAGACACTCAGGGAGTGGACTGACGATGGGAAGCAGAGGCCAGCGTGTGTCACGGTGGATTCAGCTTCCGTCTGTGACGGGGGCATCCCATATGGGCACCAGTCCCACCTGCTCCACTTCCTATCCAGCTCCCTGCTCACGTGTCTGGGAAGGCAGCAGAAGGTGGCCCAAGTGCTGGGGTCCCTGCGCCCATGAGGGAGACCCTGATGGAGCTCCTGGCTTCAGCCTGGCCCAGCCACTGCCATTGTGGCCATTTGGGAAATGAACCAGCAGATAGAAGATCTCTCTCTCTCTCTCTCTCTCTCTCTCTCTCTCTCTCTCCCTTTTAAATAAGTAAATGATAAATATTTTTTTTAAAGCTGCTTGCTGACAGCCGGTGTGAAGTCCTGGCATGTGGAGAGCAGGCTGAGACTGTCCACTGTGACGTCACACAGAGCTTCTCCATGGGCGTTTGTTCCGGCGACCAGCGTTACCGGAAACAAATTCTGAACTTTGAACACTAGCGTCAGAAGCTGTGAGACTGCACAGTTAAGGACCCCAAGTCAGCACAAAGCAGGGCTCCTAGGAAGCAGCCCGGGGCTATACAGCCCTGATGCAGGCGGCCTGAACCCCACGGGACAAGCTTGTGGTGCCGCTGAGACCTGGTGCCCGGACACCTGGGCCCCCGCAGGCTGTGAGGGGGACACAGGGTCCTGCAGCTGCTTAGAACTGGGCTGTGTGACGCCTGCCCTGGCCCGCCCTTGTCATCTCAGACAACACAGACAGGAGCAGGGACAGGCAGCGGGAGCAGGGGGGGCCAGTCCAGCTCCCTCTGTCCACTCCTCGCCGTTTCTCTGGGTTCCTGAGTCATTCTTCCCGAGAGCCACGGGGAAACGGGTCTAGAGCCCACTTGAATATCATCCCCTTAGGCTGTGGTCCCTGAGTGACCGCAGGTGGCGCCTGTTCACCCGCGGGTCACTCCCCAGCTCGCCTCCCGACACCTGCGTTTCTCTCACGGTCCTACCACAGGCTGCGTGCGAGGGAGCTGCAGAAGTTCACGGAACGTAGAATAACAAGAGAGGAGCTTATTTCCGTGCCGCGTTTTCAGAAAACACTGGGAAGAGCCCGCCCAGCCCTCCCTCCAGGGATGCATTTGGGCCAAAGCGACCAGCCGTGCAGAGGCGACCCCGGGCGTCACGCTGGAGGGCGAGCAGGCAGCCAGTGACCGGCCCACTCGCGCAGCCGAGCCCTGCCCGCGCTCCGTACCTAAGAAACGAGCCCCGCGTCGGCCTGAGCAGGAACGAGCACTTCTCCCGGTGCCCGTCGGCAAACGGGTTGGAGATGCTGACGGGGGCTTCCTCCAGCTTCCGCGAGCCCACGTCCTGCAGGCACAGGGGGCAGCGGCGGGGCACGCCGAAGCTGTAGATGCATTTCTCGCAGTGGCTGACTTTAATCAAAGGCTTGCCGGCTTCCGCACCGTGCATGGCGCTTCCTCTTCTCCTCGCAAACGCGCACCTGGCTAACCTGATCGACCGTGACGTCACCCTGATTGACAGCCTCATGGCCGAACCAGGCAGGTGAACCGCTAACCAGGACGCCCCCACAAACTGGTTTCCAAGCGTGCCTCTTGGCAGGGCTCCCGCGCGTCCCCAAGTCCCCGGCTCCCGGTGACCGTTTGCTCACCCCTACTCCTCCTGGGACCCTGTCCTTGGATCGCCCGCTTGGTTTCGTTTTTCCCAGTAGTCTGTGGGAGCTCGGCATTGGAGGGTGGCCTTTATTCTCGAATTACTTTGTTTTTGCACCAATACGTGACGGCTCCCTTCTAGGCTGTTGCATATTGTAGAAGTCACTTAACACAATTAGAAATAAGAGTGGCGGCTGCGGTCGGCTGAGGCGGTTTCTGGGCCCGGGGGTCTGTGCTGGCTGTTAACCGCGGCTGATGACGCGCGAATATTCTGTCCGTGAGCATGCATCAAGCTGTGCAGCTTCCTGCGTGCATTGTGATATTTTTAGATTTTAAAGCAGTTTCCCGCAATTGCCAGGGAGGTACGGGGGAGAGGCGACCGCCCCTTGTTTCCCGCTCCGGGAGGAGAAGACCGGCGGAAACGAAGCGCCTGGTCCCGCCCCTGCTGCTGCTCTTGGCTGTGCCCCGTCCCCGCCTCGCCGCGCCGCTGTGGGTCCTCCTTGCTACGGAGGGCGGGCGCCGTGGGGCTGCAGTGCGGCCGCCTGAAGTGTGTATGGGGACACGCAGAGTCGGCGAGGGCCCGCCACAAAGGTTAGCTGCTTCCTAATTGTGATTGTATAGAGTAGAAGGCAGGGCGCCTGCATCCCGTATCAGGGTGCCTGGCACTGGGTCCGAACTCCACTTGCAACCCAGCACCCTGCTAATGCACCTGGGAAGGCAGTAAATGATGGCCCAGGTGCTTGGGTCCCTGCCACCCACCCAGGGGATCCTGATCCAGTTCCAGGCTCTTGGCCTTGGCCTGGCCTCACCCAACCTGTTGCAGGCATTTGGGGAGTGAATGAGCTGATGAAAGATCTTTCACTGCTACTCTGTCTTCCAAATAAACAAATCAATTACCTAATTAAATAAATAGATTTAAAAATACATAAATTATAGTACAGCAAAATGCAAGAAAATACATCTCCAGTGTTAGGAGATAAGAAACATCAGTCACAGGGCCAGGAGAGACCCTGGCGGTCACGGCAAGGAAACTGCCCGTGCCTCAGTGCACACAGAGGGGTCACGGCCGGACACTGTGCTCGGGTGACAGGGACCTGAGGTTGCTCCCGATTCGTGCGAACCACACGGCTGTCTCAGTGACCCAGGCTGCTTTCAGCTGAGACTGTGTCCACTCTCACAGCACCAACAGCAAGGGTTGCCGATTCTGTTCTAAAAGGGACTGAGGCACCCCTGTGCCTTGATGAACATCTGTAACAAACCAGCGTTCCCCCCCGCCACCGTGGGCACCTTCAATCCTTTCTTACATTGTCCTTATGTTTTTAAATTTTATCTTGGGATGGACAAATGGTGTACTAGTTAGCCTCAGCTAGGACACTCGTATCCCATCATCAAGGCGCTGGGTCCGAGTCCTGGCTCCACTCCTGATTCCAGCTTCCTGCTAACGTGCACACTGGGAGGTAGTGGTGATGACTCAAGCGATTGGGTGCCTGCCACTCACGTGGGAAACCTGGACTGAACACTCCCAGCTTTGACCTGGTCCAGCCCTGGCCGGGCCGTCATGGGCATTTGAGGAGCAGACCAGTTGGTGGGAAATCTGTGTCTCACCATCTCTCTCTCAAATTTTTAAAAATTGAATAGTATTAATTATTACTATAAGAGATAGATATAGAAGATTACACAGAGGAAATGTGCGGCCTGGTGAGTTATTTTCATATGAACCCCTAGTAACATCCACACTGGTCACTGGGGAGCCGCATCCGACACCAGCATCCCATATCCGGTGTCTGGAGTGGAATCCCATCTCTGCTGCTAACCCAGCTTCCTGCTAATAATGTGCTTAGGTGGCAGCAGGTGGCTAGGTCAAGTACCTCTGCCACCCACAGGGGAAACCTGGCTGGTGGTTCTGGCTCCTGCCTTCAGACTGGCCCTCCTCTGGCTGTAGAGCACACAATGGGGAGTGAACCAGCAGATGGAAGTCCTCTCTCCCTCCATCTCTCTGTCACTCTGCCTTTCAAATCAACAAACTTTTAAAAAGGCTGCTCAGTGCTGAGAGTCGCCCTCCCACGATCCCTCCCGGAGTAACATCACTTTAAAGCAGTCACTGCTGCGGTTCTCTTAGGTTTCATCACTCACGTGCACACCCGTAGTGCTCCAGGCCAGCCCATTTAAAGTTTGGGAATGATTCTGCAGCCTCCGGGCTCCCCTCTCCTGCTCTTCTCGTCCTTACACCTGTGACGCCCGCAACGCCTGCATCCTCTCCCACAGCCTGACGGTGCTGAATGCATGGTTGTGGTCTGGCTCAGCACCTGCTCTGTCCTGTGCGTGCCTTGCAGAGTGGCAGGTGCCTCCAGAGACAGCAGGTGGCAGCGCCTTCGTTCATCTGAGAGCACATCATGTCTGGCCTTCACCCTTTTTTTTAAAAAAAAAAAAAAAAGTTATTTATTTCTTTGTTTGAAAGGCAGAGTGACAGAGAGAGAACAATCTTTCACCCACTGGTTCACTCCCCAGATGGCTTACCACAGCCAAGTGTGGACCAGGCCAAAGCCAGGAGCCAGGAACTCCAGCCAGGTCTCCCACATGGGTGCAGGACCCCAAACAGCCAGGCACCCTGATGTGTGGTGCTGGGTTGCAAGTGGTAGCTGAACCCGCTGAGCCACAGCAGCGGCCCATCACTGTTTGCTGTTGGTGGCCATTTGTTCTCGAGCCGACAGCTCTTCGTTCACTGCAGGTGGCCACGGTGAGCCTTCTAAGTCCGTGGTTCGCTTTCCCTGCATACATTCGCTGGAGTGACGCTCTGAGGAAGCTGTGAGCCCCAGCTCCTCACCCAGCCTGCTTCCTCACCCACTTCTCACTGAGGCTGTCTCTGGAAGACGCCCCGTTGGTTCTCCCAGCCTTTCCCATAGATAGCACTAGGAAGTCACAGATGCAGACGTGTCTAATGGTTTCCACCAAATGCACTGGTTCTGCTCTCTGAAGCTCAGGTTGTCCCTCCTTTGGCTTGTGTAACCGACTCCTGTGTTCCTCCCCGACCCCAAGAGCCTCCAGTGGCTTCCTCGCTCTGGTCTGTCAGACTGCAGGTGGAGTCTTGATGTTTCCAACCGATATTGAACTTGACCACTTCTTGCTGACATTCTGGGAGTCTGCCTCTTGCATTCTGGGGCTCTTCGGGGTGCATGTATACTTACGAGGTTACCTTAGTGGGGTGGCCCTTTCAGCATTATACACACTCGTCTTCATCTCCAGTAAACGTTTCTGTCATGACATCTGTTTTGTGTGAGCCAGCTCTCTTCTGATTGCTGTTTGCTTACTATTTATTCTCTTTTCAGAAAAATATTTTTTAGTTTATGTGGAAGACAGAATGAGAGGCAGATAGAGTTCCCGTGCGCGGTTCACTCCCCAGTGCCAGCAACAGCTAAGACTGAGTTGGGGCTGAAGCTGGGAGCCAGGAGCTCAGTCCAGGTTTTATGTCTTCCTTGTTCCTCTTTGCTTTGTTCTTCTATTACTGCCTTTTTTGGTGTGTGCTGAAGATGATAGATAGATAGACAGACAGACAGACAGACAGATTGATTTGAGAGGCAGAGTTAAAGACAGAGAGAGGGATAGACAGAAAGAGAGATCTTCCCTCCACTGGTCCATTTCCCAAGTGTCCTTGTCCAGCCTGCAGTGTCCCAAGCTGGACCAGACTGAAGCCAGGATCCAGGAACTTCTGGGTCTCTCACATGGGTGCAGGGGCCCAAGCTCTTGGATCATCTTCTACCGCTTTCCCAAGCCATTCGCGGGAAGCTGGATCGGAAGCAGAGCAGCCAGGACTTGAACCAGTGCCCACATACGAGATGCCAGTGCTGCAGGCAGAAGCTTAACCTACTATGCCACAGCGCCAGCCCCTGAATATATATTGTCTAGTCTGCCATTTAACTCTCTTGCCAGAGTGGACATTGTAACAGAGGGATAAGCTGCCATTGGGACACCCACACCCCATATCAGAGTGTGTGGGATCAAGTCCTGCCTCTGCTTCCAATCCAGCTAGGTTGTAAAAACAAAAACAAAAACAAAAAACCAGGTATAATCAAACAAAAATGTACTCATGTTGTCTTTGCATTTACTTGTATTTATGTGGTTCTCGTTCTGGTCCTCTCTCTTTCTTTGTATGGAGTTGAGTCAGCGTCTAGTGCCCTGTAACTTTAATGTCTGTTTCTTGTGGGAAACGTTTCTGGTGATGGACTCTATGCTATTTCGTTGATTAAAATCCAAAACACTGTGCCAGTCCCCCAACAGTTTCTTACAAAAATATATTTAATCTTGGGGCCAGCATTGTGGAGCAGCATGTTGAGACACCACCTGAAATGCCGGCTTCCTGCGTGGGCACTGGTTGATGTCCTGGCTGTGCCACTTCCGATCCAACTTCCGGGCTCCTGACTTCTGCCTGGCCCAGACCTGAGTGGCCAGAGAACGAACCAGCAAATGGAAGGTCTCTCTCTCTCCCTCCCTCCATCCCTCCCTCCTCCTCCTCCTTCTTCTTCTTTGTCTTCTACTCCCTCCTCCTCTTCCTCTTCCCCCTCCTCCTCCTCCTCCTTCTTTCTCTCTCTCTCTCCCCCTCCTTCCCTTTCTATAATTCTGCATTTCAAATAAATGTCTTTAAAATAAATAAATTTACCATCTGGCTCAGCTTTGTGCTCCTGGATACTTTCCCAAGGGAGTGAAGACTTGCGTCTGCAGGAAGACCCACCCACAGCCCTCTGTAGCAGCTTCCTTCCTCACTGCCAGATTTGGGAAGCCCCCAGGATGCTCTTCAGCAGGTGAGTGGGAAAACCAGACACACAGTAGTGTTCAGTGAGCTGTCAAGCCAAGGAAAGACACTGTAGTCTTAATTTTTTTAAAAATTTATTTGAGAGACAGAGAGGTCTCCCCTCCACCAGTTCTCTCCAAATGCCTGCAACAGCCGGACCTGGGCCCTACTGGGCCAGAAAGCCAGGGGCTCCATCCAGGTCTCCCGTGTGTGTGGCAGGAACCGACTATTGGAGCCATCACCTGCTGCTTCCCAGGGTGCACGCTAGCAGAAAGCTGGAATCGGGAGCAGAGCTGGGGCTCGAACCCAGGCACTCCGATATAGGATGCGGGTGTTTTAACTGCTGGGCCAAACACCCTCCCCGTCGGAGGAAGCTTAAGTGCTTATTGTTAAGTGCAATAAGTGAGTCTGAAAAGGCCACCTACTGTGAGATTCCAATTCTGTGACATTCTGGGTCAGGCAAGACCCCGCAGCCGGTGACAAGCTCAGTGCCTCCCAGCAGCTGGGGGAGCAGGGACCGCACTGGCAGAGCGCCGGGTTGGGGTGGGTGTTTAGGACCGGGACACGGCTCTGCGAGGCACTGCACTGGTAGGTGTGTGTTACTGCAGGCTCAGAGACATCCACAGAGTATCCTGTACAAAGGTGAACCGCGGGGTGCGCTGTGGGCTTTGGGTAAGAGCGATGTGCATATTGACTGGTGGCTGTACAGCCACCGCTGTGGTACAGGCTGGGGGAGGTGAGGGGCCAAGGAGCTGGTGCCCATGTTGGGGGCAAGGAGTGGAGGACTCTCCTTGCTTTCCACTCACCTTGCTTTTTTTTTTTTTTGACAGGCAGAGTGGACAGTGAGAAAGAGAGAGGGACAGTGAGAAAGGTCTTCCTTTGCCGTTGGTTCACCCTCCAATGACTGCTAGAGCCGGTGCACCACGCTGATCTGAAGCCAGGAGCCAGGTGCTTCCTGGTCTCCCATGCGGGTGCAGGGCCCAAGCACTTGGGTCATCCTCCACTGCACTCCCGGGCCATAGCAGAGAGCTGGCCTGGAAGAGGGGCAAGCGGGACAGAATCCGGCGCCCCGACTGGGACTAGAACCCAGTGTGCCGGCGCCGCAGGCAGAGGATGGAGGATTAGCCTATTGAGCTGCGCCGGCCACAGACCGCTCTTAAAAAACAAAACTATGAATTTTTAAAAGGAGGGAGTGATACTCCCTCGTGCTTTTCCCCTGTTTTTTTTTTTTTTTTTTTTTTTTTTTTTTTTTTTTTTTAATTTGAGACAGAGCCCTGTCATATGCTGATTCACTCCCTAAAAGCCTGCAGTGGCCAAGGCTGGGATGAGGCCAAAGCCAGGAACCAAGAACTCAATCCAGGTCTCCCTTGCAGGTGTCAGAAACTCAACTACTTGAGCCATCTCTGCGGCCTCCAAGGTGTGCACTAGCAGGCAGCTGGAATCGGAAGCTGCAGGCGGGCGTTGAACCCACGCACTCCAAAATGGGACGTGGATGTCCCGACTGATGCTGAACTGCCCGGCCGAACACGGGCCTCAGAAGCCTGGAATTACTGAAAGGGCTGAAGACTACTCAGTTGCAAAACAACGTTAATCATGGTTTCCAGGGACTTAAAACATGCACACAAGGTAATGAAAGTGACAGCAGCAGCACACATGGCGAGAAGTGGGGAAGTGGAAGGCGCAGTCGTAGTGGTTTGCTTGGGAATGGAGAGGGACAAGCACTAATTCCAGGTAGAGGTTACTAAGTTACGGATGCTCACTACATCCCCAGGGTAAGCACTCACAGATTTGTAAAGAGAATCACTAAGTGCATTAGTAGTAAAGAAAGGATGGCAGAGTCATGGCAAAGACCGAATGCAGAGGAAGACAGGGACTGGAAGGTAAGGTTCAAATGGCGGAGGCTATGAATGCAAAGAAAGCAGCTGAGATGGTGTGAATCCAACTACACTTGATGCAAATCCAAAGACAGCTGACGGTTGATCAATGGAGTTCCTGGATCCCAGTTTAGGCCTGGCCCAGCACTGACTGTTGTAACAATTTTGGAAGTGAACCTGTGGAGGGAAGACCTGTGTGTGTGTGTATGTCACCTGCCTTCATAAATAAAAGAATAAAGAAATCTTCCACCCTGACATGGCTCTATCTCCAACCAAAGGTCATTCCACTCAGCTCCAAACCAATCAGAAGAAATGAGTGTCCGCACCTTAACTGCACCTTAACCTTAACTTCCGCCCAGAGTACCCCAATGGGGGTTCATGTTGCACAACACTGACATATTGAGCATGCTGCGTGCAAGAAATACAACAGAACAGCAGGCTGGGTGCACAGGTGCGAATCCAGGTGCCATGTACTGAGGGGGTAGGCCAGAACTCCAAGCTGGGTCCCCGTCAAAGTGCCACGTGCCAAAGGGGCACCACCATGCCTCCTCATGTGATTAAAAACCCCTGCCCTGAACCCTCGTTGAGCCAGTCAGTAGAACTTTTTCCCCATGGTGCTGTGTCCAAGCTTAAGCCCACAATAAACCTTGTCTGGGTTGTGTGTTGGCCTCATGTCAATTGCTATTACAAGTGAGTCAAAGAATCTGGCGTTGGTGCTAGGATGGGCGAAGAAGGCTGGCACTGTGGTGCAGCAAGTTAAGCCACTGCCTACGATGCTGGCATCCCACGTCCCAGCTGCTCCACTTCTGATCCAGCTCCCTGCTGATGACCTGGGAATGCAGCAGAAGATGGCCCAAGTGTTTGGGCCCCTAGCACCCATATGGGAGACCTGGAAACAGGTCCTGGCTCCTGGCTTCAGCCTGTCCCAGCCCTGGCTGTTGGGGTCATCTGGGGAAGTGAACCAAATAAATCTTGGGGGGGGGGGCAAATGGAAGAAAAATTCATGTCTCTGTTCAGAATAGGTTTGGGAATTCACAGAGTGAAACCAGGACAGAACATGGCAGGTGCACAGGAGAAGAGGTGGGGTAAGTTCTTGAGCACGGGCATTCACGGCCTGCTTTTACCTGGGTCACATGTTCAAAGATGGCTGCTGTGGGCAGGCATTTGGCCTAGCAATTAAGATGCCAGTTGGAACAGCTGCGCCTCCTATTGGACTGCCTGGCTTTGCTTCCCTTGCCAGCTTCCTACTCACGCACACCCTGGGGTGCATCGGTAACTGGTCATTCTGGATCCTTCTGAATCTCTCCAAGCAGACTCCAGTCAAAATCCGGGCTGCAGCTGGTTCTGTCTGGTTTTATCAGGGAGCTTAAAAAGCACAGCACAGCAGAGCTTCACCAAAGACAGCTATTGTGGGACAGCGAGCTACTGTGCAACGGAAAGACAAATGACTATTATGGGATGTTAGCCTGCCGGGCAGCTGGGGGAGTCCTTCACCATCAGTGGGTCCCTCCCTAAGCAGTCGCACGTGTGTGTGATGGCCACGCACTGGAAGATTCAATGTTTTTCCTGGAAGGTGAAAGAACACACAGCTCTGCACGATAACATGGAAAAAATCTCAGATGCGGTGTGTCGGTCAGAAGTGCCTATTTCATGTATACAAAGAGGAAGAACCAGTGAAACTGCGCTGGCCATGGGTGAAAAGCAGCAGGCCCTTAGGGAGGCTAAGGGAGCCTGTGGGAGGCTGATAATGATCTCTGATCCTGCTGGTGGCTTTGTAACCGGAGGAGAGGATTAGGGCAGGGACTCTGAGGCAGTCTCTGTGCCAGCCTGTGTTTAGAGGATGGGGGGGGGGGGGGCTGATCTTGCACCGTTGTCCTGGTGGCCGGGGGCAGTGTCACAGCGCAGGGACTGGCAGTCGATTTGTGAACGTGCCCTGAAGAAGCAGCCTGCTGTTCCAGCAGGAAGAGCCCTTCCGCTCCCCCTTGTTCTAGTCCACATCCTGCATGGGCCCTCTCCCTTGCTGCGAGAGCCCAGGCAGCCATTTCTCCAGGGAGGGATGCCTGCCCAGTCTCCACCGGCCCGGATACACGAGGCTTTCCTCCTGCTAGGGGTTGGTTACTTGGCGACAGCCCTTGTAGACGCGGTTTCATGAGTGAAAAATTCAGAGGCACGTGCTTGTTGTTTTTTCAAGACCTATTTGAGGCGGGGTGGTGGGGTGGGGAGGAGAACCCTCCATCCCCGAGGTCACTCCTCCACCATAGCCGGGGCCGGGCGAGGCCAAGGGCAGAAGCAGCCGAGCGGGAACCGCCCGGCCTCCCACGTGCAGGGCACGGGCCACTGTGGCGGGAAGCTGGCCGGCAGGGCCTGGGACAGGGGGTGCCGGCCTCACCGGCCTCAGCGTGCGTGTTTTGCGCACTTACATAGTCTGCGTCTCGTTTTTGTTTTCTTTGAGTTCTTAGTGCGGGGTCAACATTATGATTATAAAATAAAGTATGTCAGATTTTTTTTTAATGGAGACTTTTTTTTTTTAAAGCAGGAAGAAATCACAGAAATAGTGGAGGTGGATGGCGTGATCCGATTTGCGTTCTAAGAACAGATTTTGTGAGGCAGCAGGCGCCTAGACGGGCAAGGCCGTGGGGTGGGAACGCGGGGTAGAGGCCAGCGTCGGGGCTAACTCGGGGGTCTCCGCTCAGCAGGCACAGGCCCGCAGAGGAGTGCGGGGGGCAAACGCCGCCTGCGGGAGCCGAGGTTCCGGGGAGAGGGAGGCACTGTGGCGCCACAGTGACCCCAGTCAGCCTGGGCGGCCAGCCCGCTCCCGCTCCGGGGGCCTGGACGCGGACACCGAGTGCCGGCGAGAGGGGACCGCCGGGCCCCGCCCCGGATGCGGAACCAATTGTGACGGCGGCGAGGTTTCCGGCCGGCGCTGCAAGGGCGCCGCACGCGAGGGGGTGGCGTGCGCCGGCGTGACGCGGCTGCGCGGGATGGGCCAGGCCGAGGCCGAGGCGGCGGCGGCGGCAGCGAGAGGCGGCGGCGCGACGACGGCCCCCCCAGCCCGGCCGCCATGAGCACCAAGCAGGTCACTTGCAGGTCAGTGCGCGGCGCCGCGGCGTCCGGCAGTGCCGGGGCCGCTCCGCGGGGCCCTGGGCGGCTGTCGGCGCGGCGGTCAGCCAGCCGGGGAAACTGAGGCGGGAACGGGGCTCTGTGGAAAGTTACTCAGCTGTTCGTTCGCGGCCCGAGGCGGGGATCCGGAGGCTTTGGGGTCGCGTCGCGTGCTTAGCGCCGCCGGGGAGACCGCCGTGGGTGCTCGGCGCCGGGCAGGGCTCTGGGCTGGAGGCGGCGGCCCGGGCCCGAGGCCGGGGGCCGCGGCGCGGGGTGAGGTGGTTCATGGATTTCCAGGACCTCGCAGAAGCTGGGGCTTCCCTGGAGTGAGGACCCCGGATGCAGCCGGACGGTTAATGGCGGCCCCGAGCCCTTGCTGGGAGTCTGCTGGGCGCCCCACACGGTTCTGGTGCGTTTATCATCGCAGAAGCGCCGACCGGCACACGGCGTTCCTGTCTCGCGGTGGGTCTGGGCGGTGTTAGGGGATAGCCCTTGTCTTGCTGAGACGCGGGTGTACGAGCCGCGGGGCC